AAATCTCTGGAAAGTGGAAGCAATGAAATATTCTCTTTTTCAAGTTTTGAATTAGGAGCTATCACTTTCCATTAAAATGATTTGTCTATAATGTTTGGAATTGGAAAAATTACTCTCTAGGGGGCTTTTCAAATTAAAATGATTTGTCTAGAATGTTGAGTACTCATTTATTTATATGTTTACATTGCACTTGCAGGCTTTAGACATAGGTTCTCTCAAAATCGAAGAGCCAGGCGTAAAACTTGAAGAAACCAGCAAGCAGAATGACCAAATGTTACCCTAATCTTTGAAAAGGGGTGGAGAAAAGGGAGGGAATCATTGAACGACGTACTCCAAGCAAATAGAGGTGACTTTTGACCTTCTTTGTTGGATAGATTTATGTAGACTTGTACTCTTGGTATAGTCGTAAAAATTGTGCCGTGCCTCGAGTATTCGTGTATAAAACTGAGTTAAGATGGATAATCTTACTATTTAGACCAGGTATGGATAATTTGCTAAATGTCATGGTGGCATTGGCAAATCTTGATATGTGTATTGAGGTTTCCTTGTGAATCACCATGAATCAGAATAGAGGTTTTCATGTGACTTGAGCTGATTAATTTTTTACCTCCCTGATTGATGTGTTTTTAATTCATATAATACTAAAAGTTGGTGACATTTATGTATATATATAGTCCAAAGAACAAAATTATATTACATGAGATCAAGATATAATTGTATTGAACAATAATGAGTTAAAAAAGAAAAAGTTCCCATATCCCCATGCCTAACATGAGCGTGGCTCTACATTCCTTCCTTTTAAGATCAAATGTTCAAATTCTCGTGCTAAATAAATAACGAGTTGAAAACAAAATTTTATTATGAAAAAAAAAAACTGTAAAGAAACTAGAGGTATCTACAATCCAACTCTACCTTCACTCTTGTAAATGTGTTCATGAGGTTACAAAGAGGAGAAAGGGTTTGTTTGAGAGTAGGATATTAATCAAAACCACAACGCAATGATGTGTGAGCTGTGGTAGTGAGGATTTTCAAGCTTATCTGAAAAGGTTAATGCCATGTGTGTGTATTGTAGCTTGTCTTCCAAAGTAAACAATGAAGTTACTGCACAAAGAGTGAAGGATTTTGCCCTGCTGGTGCTTAATTTCTGCTGCGCTGAATAGCAGCCTCAGTAATTGCATTGTGTTATGCTGTGATTTATATTCTCTGTGTGTCGAAGCTTTCATGCTCCACTTTGTCTTAGCTATCATCAGCCGAGGGATTCTCTTGTTGCAAGAATTCTGCATCAACCAACAAAGGAAATGGTGGAATATCATAAGTAGAAACTCCAAGTATAGATGAAGTTCCACTCTTATAGTTTTAAACGTACCTGCGTGTGAGATCAATACACTCCAAGTCTAGAACACCCACAAGGTAACCCATCTGATCTTTCACCACTGGAACTTGGCTCACACCTAAATTCTTCATAACCATTTTAGCTGTAAGAATGTCCATACTTGGAGTTGCTGTCCATGGTACTTGACATATCTCGCCTTCCAGTGAGCAAATCTCAGAAACTACTAGCCCCTGTCCAACATAATAAGTGGTTAAGTTTGGATATTTACAGAATTGATGAGTCATAGAAGTAAAAATATCTCTCTGCTATACTGTGAGGTTCGAAATTGGGACGAGCAATTCATTTCGATAGCTTTGAACTAGATTTACCCCTTTGAATTAGCCGATCTTACAAAATTGTGGAGAAAAGAATGACCAACCATAGTATAGTAGAAGCCCACCTTTAGTTGCTCAGTTCTTGATATTACATTTTTGCTTAACTTTTGAATGTCTTCAAGGGCCAATATGCCAATCAAAGTATTCTCTTCATCCACAATCAATGCACAGGACTGCTTCTCTGCAAGCATGAGATCTACTGCTTCTATAAGGAAAGTGTCCATGAAGACAGTAACGTATCTTGTTGTCATGGCTTCAGACACACATATCTTCCTTTCTAACTCTACAATTTCGCTATCAGAATCATATGCACAAAGTGAGCTTTCAATTTCACAGAGATCATTTGGGTAAGTTTCCTTTCCATCATCTGTATAATTGGAAGATTGGTCATTTGCATTACTGTCATATGTTGTAGATTGTTGAGTACTAAGAATTTTCCCTAGAGGGAGTTTCTTTGTCTTCTGGGAACTCCTTTTCCTTTTCTGCCCGGATGTTAACCACGACGACACCCCGACAGCTCCAAGTAAAGGAAGAACAATTCGGTAGTCCTGTGTCAGCTCAAAAAGCAACAAAACAGCAGTAAGAGGCACCTGACAAACCCCAGCAAGAGTAGCAGCCATTCCAACCTGCAAAACCAAGCCAATGCAAGTTGTGTTCGTGTTCTTCCACAAAAATGGCAATAAAACGATGAGATTTAAGGAATACAATGACATAGAACAGTACCAATCCATAAGCTTGAGGCGACGCCACTTCGAAAATGGAGAAGTCGATCACTGTGTTGGGCTCAGAAAGTGCAATTCCAATGAATTTCCCATATGCCATTCCAGTTGCAGCGCCAATAAACAGAGATGGCGCATAGTACCCTCCTACTAGTCCAGATGCTCTACACAAAGAGGTCGCCAAAATCTTGACAACAACAAGCTGGGCTAACAATTCAGCTGAGAGGGGTTTCACAAATGGCCGAGATTCCAACAAAAGATCAACATTCTCAAACCCCCAGTACAGAATTTCAGGGTATGCCATGGCTATCAGTCCAGTAGAGAAGCCACCTAGAATAGGAAACAAAGCCCTCGACACACCGAAGTCCTTATGAACTTTGTCGACGGTTGCAAGCATATAAGATGTGCATTTAGAAAAGCTCAATGAAACCAAGCCACAGAGTGCACCCAACAACAGATACAGTGGAAGCTCTGAAACGAGTTAAATAGGCTCTTATAGACTACTTGCTTGCCAAATATAAACCCTAAGACAAAAAGATGGATCAATTATCTTGTGTGTTAGCATTGATTTCAAACTTAGACTATTAGTTTACCACTCGGTGAGCGAAAATCGTATTCAGGAACCTTGAATGCTGGTTCAACCCCAAGACCAACTTGTGAAACAGCAGAAGCTATTACAGCACTTAAGATAACCATTGAAGTAGTGTTTGTGAGAGAAAAAGTTGAATCTGCAGGAGATGGCCACAGGACTGACTCAACAGCAAAGAAACAGCCAGCAACTGCAGCATTAAACCCTGTCAAAACAGAAGAGAATTCATAAGACCCTGTTGGAGGATCAACTCAAGAACATGAGGAAACCAATGCCTCATTGTTCTATCACAGCCATTAGCCACAAACCATTTTAGTAGAGACCAACCAGATGAGATGCCAGCAGCTGATCCTGCAGCTATCAGAGAAAGCTTTGTTCTAGAGTTCCTGTCAAACACAGTAGAAACACCCTTGCCAACAGAAGTACCGATGTCGACACTCGGACCCTCCGGCCCCAAAGAGTTACCTGTTCCAAGGGTTACAGAAGCAGCTACAGCCTTAAGGAAAGGTTGCAGTGCAGCCCTGAATTGATTAGAAATGGAAACTGGAACTCCAAGTTTCGTGGAAGGATCACTGTTTGTAGCCTCTCTAAGCAGATTTAGAAAGCTAACAAGAAATCCCCCACAAGCAGGAACCAATATAACTCGTTTCCATGTTTCTTCAACAGGCATTTCTCTTAACCAAGAAGCTCCTCTATTAGGAATTCCATCCCAGAAAAAATCACGTAGCTCATGCACCTTCAATCATTCAAAACATCACAGTAAGAACACCAACGAATCAGCAGAGAAGTATTTTCAAGTTCTTGACTGATTATAATATGTGCTAAGTTCATAGAAGAAACAAAGAAGGTGAAGAAAAATGGAGTCTACGAAGTACTGCGTTATTGAAGAGCACGACGCCGATGCCCGTAAGAACACCAACGAAACACGATGAGATTATTGTTGAACTCCCAATTCCAGAGGGGATACCTTCTTCTTCTTCTTCTTCTTCTTCTTCGTCTTCTTCTGTATTGTCTTCTTCTTCCTCTTCTTTGCTCCATTTTATACCCGTCGCCGACGGCGAACCTTCGCCTCTGCTAAACCGGCCGTCGCTGCTACCAGGAACAGGGGATTCAGATTCTCCGCTGCCGGGCAGAGCACAAAATGACCTAAAACGAAACCCAGTTCGTTTTGGGCGAAGAGAAAAACGAAGACTCAAGAAACGGCCATAGCTGCTGCAACAGTCATTTGGGGCAGAAATTGAAGAAGAAAGAGGGTAATGATGGGCATTGTTGTAAAGCCTTACGCCTATGGAATCGAAAGCCCCCATTATGTATACAGTCATTGGCACACAGTTCTTCTCCTGCTAAGTGTTCGTGAATATGTTATGAAGATGAAATATAGCTCTATCTACACGGATTTGAGTGGATGAGTTTGACAAAGCGCCTGACCCCAACTCAAATTACGACTCCGTGGCTCCTGAAGAGGCGTTGATTTGCTTCCATTTCTCTCTCTCTCTCTCTCTATCATGGCTCCATGGAACCAGAGAAACCACAACTTTATGGGTTGACCACTTGAACATGGTGAATTTCAATCAAATAGTGCACATTATGCACTTGTTACACAACAACGAGGAAGGGCCGAGTACGATCGACAACGGGTGGCGGTGCTTCCCTTTAAGGCAGAACGCTCCCCTACCGATGCATTTTTACATCCCTAAGCTTCAGTAGATCGCCTAGTCTCGTTTTCGAATATGATAAGGAGCTTTCACTTTCTTCATAGAACTCCAATAGTATTTTAGGCTTAAATTAGACAAATATCATATCGTTCGGTAAGAAGGAAGGATTACTGTTCTCTAATTCAAAGATATTTTAATTTAGTTCTTGAGAATACAAAAGATCTTCACGAATTATGATGACTTAGAAGTGATTTAGTAACAAAAATAGGTAGCTGTTTTCCGAAATCTCTCCTTATAGAATCATATTATCACTTTAGCCTCGTAGATTGTCACAACAATTTCAAATACTTTCTTTTATTCGGATACGAATGTTACAATCTTTGAATATATAAATAGTCAACCTTAGGAGACTTAAAATCCACATTGGTGGAGAAATTTGGTGTGCAAAAAGGAAGAAAAACACAGATTTTATTATTTTTGAACATGACCAAGCTCTTCATCTCTCAAGCCACTCTCCTGAATTCCCTCCTTCAACAGCATCAACTCCTCATCTGAAAGTGGGCTCTTTGTTTGAGGGACAGCCATTGCATTGCCTTGCTTCTCAATCTCAACTGCCCAGTTATAAATCACCATCCCAACAACAGCAAGAACCATTCCTGATATGTTCTTCAATGTCATCTCTGAATCAAAGAGCAGCCACCCCAATGTCAACACGCATACCGTCTTCATATGACCTAACACCTGGAACGACACGGCCGAGAAGCGCCCAATGCACAGATATTGACTGATGTTGCAGAACACAGCAAGGGAGCATGACAGTACTATGAAACTCTGCAACATTCATCAAGGTTTCATATTGATTGGAACCTTCAAAAGAAAAAGCGAAACATTTACGGGATTCGAAAGAGAGATCGAAAGAACGACTCACAAACGCGTTGAAAGTGTAGCTGTAATTCAGTATAGATTTGCTTGTGAGGCAGTAGTCAATAAATGGGCCAACTGTTAGAAGAGAAAGTGCTTGTATGGGAGCTGTCTTGCTGAGTAATTCAAAGGATCCTATTGAGTACTTCTTTTGTAATGAACCTATAGACTGTTAATCAATGCAAAATTGTTAGCTTCAGACTCGGCAGTGTAACGGCCTAAGCCCACCGCTAGCAGATATTGTCCTTTTTGGACTTTCCCTTTCCCCAGCGTCTTTACTGACACATTGTCCAGTGTCTAGCTCTGATACCATTTGTAATAGTCCAGGCTCACCGCTAGCAGATATTATTCTCTTTGGGCTTTCCCTTACGGACTTCCCCTCAAGGCTTTAAAACGCGTCTGCTAGAGAAAGGTTTCCACACCTTTATAAAGGGTGTTTTGTTTTCCTCCCTAGCCAACGTGGGATTCTCACAAAAAGAAAGTGCTTACAATTTGTTGCAGTGATGTGCACAAGACTGCTACCAAGGCACAAAGGAACCCTTTGGCATTAACCTTCACATCAGTCACTGTACAGACCCCGACACCGACAACGACCACGGCTACGGCCATCTTCACTTCCCTTGAGTATTGTTTTCCATGAAGAATCCATTCCATTACACAAACCACTGGTATCATGCTTAGCTTTGATATCTACAAGCGTATGGAGCAGTGACAATGTTCGGTTATTGTCGATGACGATCACGAGTGACATGACAACTAAGGGTAAGGGGGAGAAGATTGAACCTGATAGAATCCAACGGAGTTTAACATGAGGCTGAAGTTCATGGCTGCTATCGACGTGTTAGCGATAATCGAGAACCAAAGAAGCTCCCAGATGGGAACAGATTTGGATTCAGAATAGCCAGTGGCATTTGAAATCCAGCCAACCATTGCAGTTGCAGAAAAGTGAAATCCAGTTAAGGTTGTAGCTGAAACACAAAAGGAAATTCTTGGATCAGAACAAGTAGTTGGTGAAATAAAAGAGATACTCTAATATCCCAAGCCCATCGCTACTCTATATTGTCTTTTTTAGGCTTTCTCTTCCAAACTTTCCCTCAAGGTTTTAAAATACATCTCTTAGGGAGAGATTTCCACACCTTTTCTTATAAACAATGTTTCGTTCTTCTCCCCAACTGATGTGGGATCTCACAATCCGCCCCTCCTGTGGAGCCTAGTGTTCTCGCTGGTACTCGTTCCCTCTCCAATCAATGTGGGACCTCCCCAATTCACCTTCCCTTGGGGACCAGCGTCCTTGCTGGCACACCGCCTCGTGTCCACCCCTTTGGGTCTCAGGTTTCTTGCTGGCACATCACCCGATGCATGTCTCTAATACCATTTGTAACAACTCAAGTCCACCGCTTTGTCCTCTTTGGATTTTCCCTTCTGAGTTTCCCATCAAGATTTTAAAACGCATCTACTAGATAGAAGTTTTCACACCGTTATAAAGAATGTTTTGTTCTTCTTACCCTCCAATGTGGGATCTCAGGATATGATTATCATATCATGTATTTCTCTTTTTCTCTTGAGCACTCTCAATGGAATTATCATTTTCATGTTGGTCCTTCATCATTTATCGAGAGCTTCGATTAAAACCGCTTCATTCAGTCAATGGGCGAAGAACAGCTAGCTAAGAGTTAGCTCAGAATTCAAATGATTGCTTCAGTTAAGAGAACTTAGGATAATGAAATTTGAAACTTAGAAGAGAAGAAGAGAGGTACAAACCAAAGGAAAAGGCAAAGCCAGTTTGGGACATGAGCTGCTTGTTGGCCATGATGATGCCCACTGAGCTGATTATGTTCATACCCCAAGCTCCAACATCTGAAACAGAGGACGACTTCCTCTCCTCCATCAGCATCTTCTTCTTCTTCTTCTTCTTCTTCAAATCCAGATCAAAACATTTGCTCAAAGATATTGCTCCCAAATTCATCAAACTGCAGCTGCTAAACACAAAATGTAGATCAAATGAGAATTGAATGGTAGAAGAATGAGAACTTAATTTCATTAAATACTCTTCTGGGTCAGCTTACAATGTTCTTAAATCCTCAAAGTTTGAACCTTTTGACCCCAAAATTGTTGCTGCAAAGTCCACTCTCAATGGAAGCTCTCCCCTCGGCTTCTTCAGTTGGGTTTTGCTGCCGTTTTGGGCAACCAGCACGTTTACAACTAAACAAACCCACCGATCCCCATGGAAGATTTCGAGTTTCAAGAAATAATTAAAGCTTTTTTAAAGGTGGAGTGTAGAAGGAAACAAGCTGTTTTGCCTTTCAACCTTTACACTTCTGTGGTTCTCGACTTTATCAAAATTTTGGTTGTGTTCTAAGATCCCATTTTGTTTAAGACACAAAATGTTCAAAAATGTATGAACTCATATGGTTGTTTTGATACTCACAAAATTATCAAACTCTGAGTCACCTTTCTAATTTGATATTAAATTTGAAAGCATTTAAGGGCGTTTGTTTGAAGATTTTGTTTAAAATGTCAGGAATAGAAACAAAATGTCTAGAAATCGAAGATAATTGTGTTTAGTGAGAATGCTCTCATAATTACTTTTAACAATTCTACCACATTAATTAATTGTTATTAGTTTATTTTTATTAAGTCAAATTATTAAAATAATTTAATTTCTTATTAATGTACATTATACCTTAAATTTTAGGACATGCACTTGCCTAACATTTTAGATCCTTGCTACATGTGGATCTAACAAAAATAGAAGTATTTGTATTGATCATGCAATTGACCAACATTTGAACCCCATTTTTCTCTTTAGAAAAAGGTAAAAACTCTTTCACTGTTATGGAGAGAGAGAGAGAGAGAGAGAGAGAGAGAGAGAGAGAGAGATTGAGAGAGAGAATTGAGAGGGAGGGAGGGAGAGAGAGAGAGAGAGAGAGGGGGGGAGAGAGGGGATGAGAGAGAAGGGGGAGAGAGAGGGGATGAGAGAGAGGGAGAGAGAGGGGAGAGAGACAAGAAATTGGTTGAGAAGATGAAAACAGGAGAAAGAATAGAACAATGGATACTCTTGGTCAAGTATAGCAAGACAGAACAGAATCCCAAAAGGCTCACATAGCACACCAAATAATAGAACAGATTTAGTCTCACTGATTATATATATATCATTCTAATGAAAATCACATCACTTGAAGTAAGCAGTAGCGTTTTCAAAAGTAGATAAAGCTAGAATCATAGAAATGCCTGTGCCCGTGGCGTGCGTGCTTGAGTTATGGCACAAAATCTTTCCCGTGGCTTCAAAAGTTACAGGAAAACGTCCTTCTCGAGCAATTTGAGCACCTCGTGTTGGTTGTTTAGCTTGGCAACATCTATGGGGGTCTTTCCATCCAAGTTTTGGAGAGTGCTGTAGGCAAAAAAGGAGAAAATGGTGAAATATTGAAGGAAAAGAACCATTAAGTAATGTCATTGTGAAGGCTGTTTGTTTTTACACTGCAGCGCCATTCTCGAGTAACAGTGCAACACACTCCTTCCTGCCATAACCAGCTGCATAATGAAGTGCAGTGTTCTTGTTCTTATCCAGTGCATCCACCTTCACTCCAGCTTCAAGAAGGATCTGAGCGCATTTCGCCTGTTTATTTATGTTTGGGAAGGGAGGAGTGTTGGAAATTGGTCATGTCTCAGTTCAAATGTAAGGCAAAATTTCCAGATTGTTGCAAATACAAAAACAAGGCAAATTCATGGCCAAAACGAAAAACTCGCACCATAGGAAACTCATTGATAGCACATGTAACTAAGAATTCACCCATACTAGTAGTTGAACCGGGCTAAAATCAAGCACAAAATGAATAAATAAAAGCATTAGCAAACATCTCTATGTGAGATCCCACATCGGTTGGGGAGGAGAATGAAACATTTCCTTATAAAAAAGTGGAAACCTCCCCCTAGTAGACACGTTTTAAAAACCTCGAGGGGAAGTCCGAAAGGAAAAATCTCCAAAGATGACACTATCTGCTAGCAGTAGGCTTAGGCTGTTACATATTTATACCTTACTCAAAATCGTAGCATTTTCCAAGAAGACAGATTTCATAATTCTCATTATCAATTTATCACTAATAAGAAGCCACAAGGATGCTCAAATGTATTTGAAACGTAATGAAAACAACAGAAAGGTTTGGGAAGAAATTTCCCACAAGAAGCTATCGTACCTCACCATACCCACATGCAAAATGCAAAGCGGTCCTTCCCTCTGAATCTTCTTCATCCTTGTTCTCACCGGCTGCTAGTGCATTTTTTAGGCCCTAAAACAAAAACAAAAACAAAAGGAAGACCTGGATTAGACAACTTATTTCTGATACCCCACTCTCGTCTAATATTCTTCGTCACGAAACAAACTCCCAACTATTTAATTCAAGTATTTCTAAACAGGCAAATGGGTGAAGCAAATCAACAATGATAGAAATATTTTCTTAATTTATTGATATAAATTGATCTAAGGTGAATAGAAAAATGATAAACAAGGGAACCTTCCCCACTAGGCAACATAGTAAAAATAGAAAAATCAAAGAACAACAAGAAGCAAACGAACTCTCCAAATTGACTTGAATATCAAAATAACTCCAAATATTTTTTAGAGAAATACACCATCTAGCTTCCCAAAAGTGAGCTTTATCAAAAATCTTTTATACCATGGTGAAAGAATCCTCACAAACTCTCCAGTTTCTTTCTAAACTTACAGCTTAAATCAAAATCTGTCCTTTTGCCCATTTGAAAGTATTGATGGGTTCTATCAAATTATGGTAGGAAGAAATAGTTTTCCATGGGCCTTCTACCTTACATCTCTTAACAGCATTGAGCCATCCTATAGATATCACCCTATATTTTCTTTTAATCTCGACAGAATAACAATGTCGAGGTCTAACTAACTACAGGTAAAGAAGCAGTCTACCAATTTGACAAAATAAATTCCTTTTAGAAGAACCCACCCACTCCCCACCACACATGCACACACTGTTCGGCTAGCTTCCATGCAACTCAATTATTCGTATGAAACTACCATTAGAATTAAAAGATATTTGTATTATTTGAATTAAATACAAAGTAAAATTTTATTTTAGTAGTTGATTAAGATTCAACAACATAAAGACAGCAGAGAGGAACATGACAATGAAACAAAAAAATACAATGTAATGTCAAATTAATTAAGACCAATTCAAGTATGATATGCCTCTATAAATGAGTCTGCATCTGATTGTTGGATTGCAATATTTCTTTCATATCAATAATGAAAGGACCTTGAGGAAAAACAAGTTGTGATGAATCATCATGTTATACCTCGACATCACCAACACTAGCAGTTTGATGAACTATAGATTCGTCATCATTTCCTACTTCTTCTGAATCATCTGCAACAGAACTTTCAGCATTGGCTCCATCTTCTCCATTAACTGCAAAACCCATTGCTTCGCCCAACTTTTTCAAGACGTCTCTGTCATTCCAGTACCTAAGAAAGAAAACTCTCTCTTTAACAGAATGGTCTTTAACTCCCCCCCCAAAAAAAAAAAAAAAAAATTGATGCAGGATTGAAAATAAATGATTATAGAAACCATAACCTCATCATGGCAGCTGGACCACCAGTCTCTATTTCATCTAAAATAGGCTTCAAAGTTGGATCTTGCTTGATCTGTGTCATACGTTCCTCAAGCTGCTCTTTATTGGATGGATTTGCAAAAGTTTCCAGCATGCTAGACATGGATGGATCCTGGAAAATTGTAAGATCAAATCATATCATTCAATTGACATGCTATTGTAAATAGAGAATGGAGAACAACAACAGGAGCGTATTTAAATTCAATCAACAACAAGAACCTGCATTAATGTATTGCCAAGGCGCTCAGCCATTGACATAAATTGAGGATTCTGCATGACCTGCTGCATGGTAGAATAGTATTGTTGCGTATCAAACTGCGGAATACCCTGCTGAGCAGAAGCACCGTGAAAATTCTTCTGAAGTTCTGACGCCATCTGAGTAAATGCAGGATCTTTTGCTATTTGAGAAGCTAATTCTTGAATGCTAGGATCCTGCAAGGAAAAGAAAAGGTTCTCATGTTTTTACATTTCTAAGCATGAAAAGAAAATATTCAGAATGAGTTTAATCTTCTTTTTCCCTAGGAAACAAAAGGTCCTCGATGTCAACAACATATTTCAGAAGTTTTCAGTCATAGAAATCATAATGAAGTATCAAAATCCAAAAGTATTTTCTGGCATCATGGATTCCACATCCCACTGAGAAGTCAATCCAATATCAATGAAGGTTAACTATATGCAATATTAAATACCTCTTAATTTTCCTATGCAACATTAGGTTACCAAAACATTGAAATTTTGATAGTTGGGTAACTCATGACATACATACAATATCCTAACACAAATCAGTAGAGCAAGAACTTTCAATCAATCAACCAATTGGTTAAATCCATATTTCAACCTTCACATAGTCTAATGTAAAGCTGTAGCCAGCTTACAATGTTCTTAAGCATGACTAGACTTAATAACTTTTTCAATTTGGTTATCCCCAAAACTAACACTTTGTGTAAGAAATCAAATTCAACCATTATACCAATGATATACAAGATAGCAAAATTGGTAAATATTTGCTTTATAATCTTATTTGATCTTTTAACTACAATTATAACAACTAGTGGTCATTTTTCCTTGAGGGTCTAGCTGGGCGCCTTTCAACAGTTTCCTCAACAGAAATTCAGAAAAAACTAAAACTGAACAGTTCACCCAATCAATCATTATTTTATACTGTCAGCTAGATTATAAACTAAAATTTCTCTAAGATGTCTTAGGCATCCACCTCATTCATGGTTACAACCGGAGAAAATTAGTTTCCTCATCAAAAACTCAGAAGAAACTAAAATGAAATAGTTCATCCAATCTACCAAAATATTATATCCTATCAGCTCAATTATGGGCTAAATAAACTTTCATGGATCTCTTAGGTGTCCACCACATTCAGGTTCATGCAGATTAAATTCTAAAGACTATCCCTACTCACCTCGAACATCATTTCTAAGTCACATTTAACAAAGAAAAAAAAAAGAAAAAAAAAGAAAAAAAAAAGGTCAATTAAATGATCATATAGATCAAAGTACTTAAAATTCTAATGAGTGAAAACTAAGTAGATAGTAGTCATTCAGAAATTGAATATATTTTAGACATGAAAGAAGTTGGCATACGTTAAGCAAGCCAGTCATTGCTGAGAAATCAAAAGGATTTGGAGGAAATTCAGGAAGTGAGGCTGAGGGAGCCTTTGGTTTATCTGGCTGATGCTCTGCAGAGGATGTTTCGCTTTTGGTTGTTTCACTTTTGATTGTTTCACTTTTGGCACTTTTGTTATCTGACGAAGCTGTCTTCTCATCTGCAAATGAATAACACATTATCAGAAAGAAACTGAAACAGAAAGAAGTTCAGAAGAAATTATAATTATTTAAAAGGAAGAATAAATGAAAAATAAATTTGTTTCGCATCGTTATATTTCTGATATGTTGTATCCGTTATTTCTTTAATTTCCCAGCATATTGCCCTTGTGATGTGTTCCATAAATTCTATTGTAGTAGCTTAAAAATCACATTAGCTCAGGCCACAAGTCTTTCCTTTTTGAAATGGGATTATTGGTATTATGAAGATGAACGTAGGGGAAAGAATAGCAAAGAAGGTTTACATTAAACTTCTCTTTTTTTGTTTAGAACATGAAACTCGCGGTTAGCTTACTTTATTCCAATTTCTACTCATTGAATTATATACTCGGTTACAACAATTGAAAATCTCCCCTACACTTTGATTTATTTGCTTCTCTCTTTTCCACTCATCAACACCCTTGTGCTCTTCTGACTCTAGGCTTATCTCCATATTCTGCCGGCAAAAGTCCTCTCTAGAGTCAAAAAGGGTGGACAAATCGGCAAATGTCTTTGTTTTCTGCACCCTAAAAGAGATGATGTTCTACAGGGAGTTGAATCCAGATCGCATTGTGTCTATCGAAAGATCCATAACCTCTATAGAACAAGCAGTATTACAACTTAAACCACCGTACGCTAATTCCAGTCAAATCTTCCAAATCAGAATCTAATTAACCAAAAACACACTCCTAGAAACCATCCAATGTCCTCATTTATAAAAAAAAGTCCAAAATTAAACAGGAACTTAAACAGAAGAACCCCTCTGTTTCACCTTAAAAGAGGAAAAAAAATCCACAAATTACCGACCACAATCTACAATAAAGGAACTTACCAGCAGCAACATCCTTCGTCGAATTGGAAGCCATGAGAGTAACTGAAGTCAATTGAAAGAACAAAATATCAGAACGGTGAAACAAGAGCAATCCGGACACTATGATGAGGGAATTAAACACAAGAAATGGAGCAGAAGAAAAGAATCAAAAAACGAAAAAGAAGATTATTCCAAACCCAATCCAAAAACCTTTCTAGATTAAGCTACGAACACAACCTGCAATGGAGATTCCGAGATTGAACCTCAACCCGACGCCGATCAGAGTAACTCAATCCAAGAAAAGTAGAGCGCGGTCAGAACTTTGTAGATGTTCAGATAATAAATCACTCACTCTATATATCACCCATCCCAATCTCCCGAGACACTTTTTTTTTTTCTAATTATTATTTTAAATTAAAAATTAAAATTATATATATATATATATATATATATATATATTAAAAAATTGTTTATTAACATTTTTTTTCTTTGTTTAGCTTTTAAAATTAAATAAATTTTCATAATCTTCCAATTTTCTTTTTATATAAATTTAAAAAATTATAATAAATATTTTATTTCTTATTTTTTAAAATTATGTTTTTTTGGACTAATTTTAAAAATAAATAAGTTTTTAATTTTTTTTCGAATTAAATATAATAAAGAAAAATCACGGATAAAAACAATATCGTAAACGTAATTATTATAAAGTTAGGCAACTATATCTTATTTTTTATAATTAATTTCTTTTTTCATTAACTCTCGTAAATAATAAATATTAATAGGTAGGTAGGGCGGGCAGTTAATTTTTCATCCTAGAGAATGGAAAATTGATTTTATTTATTTATTTATTTATTATTTTTTTTCACAGAAAAATAATTTTTCATAATTATTTAAAATGTATTTTGCCACAATTATTTATTTTTTATTGAATTAATTTATTGGATTTACACGCAAGCAAACAAACAAGGCAAGGCGTTGCCAGAGTTTCAGTGGGCCACCGCAATCCTAATCTTCTCCGAACCAATGGCCATTTTTCAACGACGGAAATGTTTTTCTTTTATTATTTTATTTTATTTCCTTTTAGGGGCAAGAATTTGTGGTTGTAATTACGTGGCATTCTTTTTCTTGGGAACCAACTTATATTTTCTTATATGTGAGACCCGTTCATTTGTGTGCTCGTAAAAATCACAAAATATGAATCGTAATTTTTTTAATGATTTGACTCCAGGATAAAGATGCACGTGTAGGAGCTTGTGATATATATATATATATATATATATATATGGTCGGTATGTATGAAAGTGATACTATGAGATCTCACATCTGTTAGAGATGAGAATGAATCATTTCTTATAAAACCCGAGAGGGAGTGTAAAAGAGAAAATCTAAAAAAGTCAATATCTACTTATGATTGAGTTGAGCTGTTATAAACGATATCAAAGTCAAACACGAGAATATTGTAAGACCCCATACTTTTTTTTATCAAGGTTTAGAAGCATGAAAGTGATGCTCGACTCGAGAATTTGGTATACATGAAAGTGTACACGGAAAGAAAAGTTTAATATTTAAAATTTTCAATTTTTTTAATATTATATATATATATAATATAATATAGAGAGTTGATTTTGCATTAGTTTCCCATTTATTTTTAATTTTTAAGTTGATAAAAAAATTTCTTTCAATAAAAATGAATTTTAATTAAAAACATTGTTTATTTATTTATTTTTCGAAAATTTCTAAAGAAAAGTGAAGAAGGAAGAGAAAAGAAAAAACAAAATTTTAAATTTAAAAAAAATAAGAATTAATATAAAAATATTAAAGGTTCGAATTAGATCAAATATCTCACGTGAAGAAAAAAATGGACGTCGGTTAGCTTTATGTCTTTCCATCCTCGACCTCGTTCAGCTAATAGAGAGGAATCTCTTCCCGCTTCCTTTTCATTCATCATTTAAGCAGAGATTTCCACGATCTCTAATCCCACAAGTTAAATAGACATCTCTATAATTTAATATATCATATTTTTATTTTACTGTCCTTATCTTCGACAAAGGAAGATATTACTCGATATATTTCCGTATCATTCATGATATATATAATAATTTGGACACTCGTTTCAAATGCATATCCCATTTTTGCATAGCAAGGTTATGAAAATTCACGACAAGCAACCGTTCGTATTTCTCCCGAGATTAAAGAGTTTGAATGTGGAGGCGGTTCTTCTTTTATCCGAAGAGTTTGAATTAGCCCCCGATCGTATTTCTCCCGAGATTAAAGAAAAAGGGGACAATCTGTCTTTTTAGAGCGATGGTATGATCTCTACTCCATAACTATTACACAAAAAGTCGGTAATTTATGAGATTTAAACAAACAAGACTAAACATTAAATCGTAGGTTCCTAATTAAAATAAGCTATAAATTACTTACAACTTTTGTAATTATTTTATCTTTATAGTAAAAAATATTAGATCAAGAGTTGATATGGAACAACCGGACATAAACGGGACATTGAGAGGTGATGAGTTCGAGCTTTCGCGTATACAATCCACTTCAATATATATATATATATATATATTAATTTGGATAAAAAAAATGCGTATTTTATTTAATTAAACAATATATATTTATTATTATTTTTTAAAAAAGATTTTGAGGAGGAATATTAATTCCCAGCGCAACGCAATTTCAAGAACCCCGAACAATATACGCATTCTGTATCGTCCGTTGCTCGTCGTGAGTATCTCTCACCGTGTCGGTGGTAAGTTCTTGACCTAGATCTCAAGATTTCCCCCATTTCTTGGTGTATGATTTCGAGTTATGGAGCTAAGGAATATGTTTCTCTGTGTTTGATTTGATTTTCCATTTCATCGTTGCTTGTGTAAATTGAATTGAGTCGGATTTCCTCCTTTTTCCAGTTTGATCTTAACAATGTTTTTGTTCTTTGTTTGAGAATGATTTGCTTAGAATGTATTTCGTTTCTTCCGTGCAACCGTTTAATCACTCGGATCTAATGCGTTCTCTAATTAATCTAGCAGATTTTCAGATTAGTGGTAAAAGATAAAGATAACTTTTTTTTTTTTCTTGTAGATCTTGTCGCTGTCTTGTTTTTGTTTTATGATTTGAATTGTCGTTACTTTTGCTAGCGTATGGATCTTTTAAGTCTGGTTGGATTTGTAATTAGATTGCCGCATTTCTTTCAGTTTCCAATGGCCTCCTCCTGTTCGAGGAAGCCCTCAATTTGTCGGGTTTTCCTTGTGTTTCTGTTTCTTGCCTATCGTTGCGATGCATTCTATCTCCCCGGCAGCTACATGAATGTTTACTCTTCTGAGGATCCTATATTTGCTAAGGTTAATTCCTTGACTTCCATTGAAACTGAGCTTCCTTTCAACTATTATACTCTCCCCTATTGCAAGCCACCGGGTGGTGTCAAGAAAAGTGCAGAGAATCTTGGGGAGTTGCTTATGGGTGATCAGATCGACAACTCTCCATATCGATTTCGCATGAATGTAAATGAAACAGTCTACCTTTGTACCACTGAGCCTTTGAGTGAGGTTCAAGTGAAGCTTTTGAAACAGAGAACTCGTGATCTCTATCAGGTAAACATGATACTGGATAATTTACCTGCCATGAGATTTACCGAACAAAATGGGATTAAAATCCAGTGGACTGGGTTTCCAGTTGGGTACACGCCATCAAACAGTGAGGATGATTATATCATTAACCACCTAAAGTTCACAGTCTTGGTTCACGAGTATGAGGGGACTGGTGTGGAAATAATTGGCACTGGGGAAGAAGGTATGGGTGTGATTTCGCAAGCTGAACAGAAAAAGGCTTCTGGATATGAAATTGTTGGATTTCAGGTTACACCTTGTAGTGTTAAATATGATCCTGAAACGATGAAGAAGTATGATATGCTACAGAATATCACGCATGTAGACTGTCCAAAGGAGCTTGAGAAGTCCCAGATCATCAGGGAGAAAGAGCAAGTGTCATTCACTTATGAGGTGCAGTTTGTCAAAAGTGATATAAGGTGGCCATCAAGATGGGATGCTTATTTGAGGATGGAGGGTTCCAAAGTACACTGGTTCTCAATTCTAAATTCACTAATGGTAATCTTCTTCTTAGCGGGTATAGTTTTCGTTATATTCTTAAGGACTGTGAGAAGAGACTTGACAAGGTATGAGGAATTGGACAAAGAATCTCAAGCACAGATGAACGAAGAGCTCTCAGGATGGAAACTTGTAGTTGGAGATGTGTTCAGGGAACCCGAATGTTCGAAGCTCCTCTGCGTGATGGTTGGTGACGGGGTTCAAATTTTGGGGATGGCAGTTGTCACTGTTGTTTGTACAGCATTTGGGTTCATGTCACCAGCTTCTAGAGGAATGCTACTGACAGGGATGATTATTCTTTATCTTTTCCTTGGAATTATTGCAGGTTATGTTGGTGTACGCGCATGGAGAACCATTAAGGGAACGTCAGAAGGGTGGAGATCAGTTTCCTGGTCAGTTGCTTGCTTCTTTCCTGGGATCGTCTTCGTCATTCTTACAGTACTGAACTTCATTCTTTGGAGCAGCAAGAGTAGTGGCGCCATTCCCATCTCATTATATTTTGAACTCTTAGCTCTCTGGTTTTGCATATCTGTGCCACTCACCCTGCTGGGAGGGTTCTTTGCCACACGAGCTGCAGAAATTCAGTTTCCCGTGAGAACCAACCAGATTCCGAGGGAAATTCCTTCACGGAAGTACCCATCTTGGCTTCTCATTCTTGGAGCTGGGACCCTTCCCTTCGGAACCCTTTTCATCGAACTCTTCTTTATCCTTTCTAGCATCTGGCTTGGAAGGTTCTATTACGTTTTCGGTTTTCTACTGATAGTTTTATCTCTTCTGGTTATTGTGTGTGCTGAAGTATCAGTCGTCCTTACCTACATGCATCTCTGTGTGGAGGATTGGCGATGGTGGTGGAAGGCGTTCTTTGCTTCTGGTTCAGTTGCTCTTTACGTGTTCCTATATTCCATCCACTACTTGGTCTTTGAGCTGCAGAGTTTGAGCGGCCCGGTGTCTGCTATTCTTTATCTTGGTTATTCATTGATCATGGCAACGGCAATTATGTTATCAACCGGCACCATCGGCTTCCTGACATCTTTCTACTTTGTTCACTACCTATTTTCTTCAGTAAAGATAGATTAGAAATGGCCTACACCGCCCTTTCTCGCCTGGCCAAAGGACGATTACGGTAACATTTCAGCTCTTGGCGAACCGTCTAATACTTTCTTGTTCCCTTCAGCCTAGCAAGTTTCTTAGGCATTTTTTTTTTGTCTTCGGAGCCATTACATTATATGAAGTGAAGTGAGATGATGGGATAGTTATTTCTAGTTTTATGAATCCCAACCTATGTTTAGAATGCAAAGATCTGCCCTCCACCAATACCAAATCCAAAAAAATGGGATGTTCTTGGGTTTTTAATGCTATTGATCTATTTTTGATGGAGTGCTTCTATCCAACCAAATTGTTAGTAGAAACTTGAAAGTTGTTACCATTGTTTTACCTTTTCCATTCTTGTATACCATTTCATTGTATTTGCTTTCTCCTTTGATATTTTTGACATTATTGATTTCTTATCTATACGTGCTAAGTCGTTAAGTTCGTATATGACATTTGAGAAAATGCAATGAAGGATTGCATATTATATCATTAAGTTCGTATATGACATCTGAGAAATTACCGTGAACGCTTGCTTGTTATATCGTTAAATTCATATATGATGTGTGAGAAAATGCAGTGAAGGCTTGGATATGGATATTATGACGTTAGGTTCGTATATGACATTTGAGAATATGCCGTAAAGGCTTGCCTATTATATTGTTAAGTTCATATATGAATATGAGAAAATACAGGATTATATTAAGTTCGTATATGACATCTAAGAAAATGCAGTGAAGACTTGTGTATTATACCGATACGTGCAAGTCATCGAGCTCTTGTAGTCCTTGAATACTTTTAATATAGTTTCAAAATTTATGAAAATTAGATAATTTTAATTTAGTTCGTATAATTATTTAGAAATGGAAGAATTTATTTATTATCTGGGTCAATTTTGTCAATTTTATTACTGACTTTAAACTATATTTATATTATATTTTATATTTTTTTTTTCTTTTTTCGTATAATGAGATTATTCATTAAAAGTAAAACGATTTTAGTAATAATTACGTATCAATATTTTAATTAATTTTAAATATGCTACAACTCTAGAATTTGAAATTATATTAAATATCCAAATGCCAAAATTTTCATATTTTAGGTTAGCACATACAATAAATAATTTAGGTGATATTATTAAATTAATATAATTAATCATATGCATATATACTATGTTTTATATATCTTATTTATTTCATGTACACCACCTTTGTATATTTAATGATTTTATTAAATATACGTACACAATAATATAGTCCATAACGATGTAACCGTATAATAAAGTTTGTGTCGGACATATTAAATTTGTATACCTAAAGTATGAAATAAATATAAAATGGGGGCATATAGTATCATCCCAATGTTGAACTTAAATTAATTTTGAAAAAAGAAAAATATTTACAAAATTATTAATTCTTACATATCTTAGTTTCAAAGTTTCTCATTAAGCTTGCAATGCATATATTCCAAAATATAAAACATATACTATATTATATTAAATCAATGCTATCAAACTAATTAAATTATTTTTTAACGATTAAAAATATAAAATTTAATTCTAATTTCTCAGACCATTATAATTTAATAAATAATAATAATAACAACAATAAAATATTAAAAGAATTGGTATAGACTAAAAATTAATTAAAATATTATTTTAGTCATTTTAGTTTCATGTCTGAATTTACGTTAAGCTTAAAATTGTATATTGTTGTTTTTTTTTAAATAAAAAACGTTAATATTAATGTTTTTTTTAAAATTTTAAATTATATATTTTATTTCTAAAAAATTATTATTATTCTTAACCCATTTTGATTAATCGTTAAATTAATTGAAAGTATAAATACTTGACAAAATTGAAAGCACAGTAACCAATATGATATTTAAAATAAAATAAAATAAAAAAAGAAAGAATTTTTGTAATATTAAAAAAATATATTAAATGAACTTCAGAAACTAGCCGTTGGCAAAATAAGGCGTACTGAACTAACGCCCTGTCGCGTTCCTTCTTCTTCACCATCATTTTCTTCCACTCTGTTCTGTACCTTCGAGCTTCTTCATTTCATCTCTTCTAGCTTCTTCCCTTGTAGCTCTTTCACCTTCTCTCACTCTTGTGTACCAGAAGCCTCTTCCCGCTTGAGGATTCATCATCGAGCAAGATGTTCACAGATGGCCTCGATGAAACTGCAATTTCCTGGATAAAAAAGGTATTCTCTCCAGTTTGATTCAGTTCATTCTGTTTTTCATTTGTAGTATTCGATTCATTTTTGTATCTCGTCGCTGTTTCCCCTTAGGGGACGGATAAAACCGTGGAAGACGAAACTCGAATTCGATCTCCTCTTGCCGAGAAAACTGGCTCCGATCTATTTCCTCAATCTCCGTTGGCGTTTAATGGCACTGGATTCATGTCTTCTCATGTTTTGCCTCCTTTGAAATTCCATTCTGGATTGCTTTCTCCTCATAGTTTGGCATCTCCATGCCTGAATGACGATGATGACGATGATGGAGATTTTGATGTTAATGAAAGTATTGCTTCGGTTCCATTTGAAGAGGATGGTGCTTCTTCTGAAGATGATGATATGGAATTTCATGATTCGGATTTCTTGGAGAAGCCTGTCGTGCGGGGTATTGAGGAAGATGTATTTAGCTACCAGTCTAGGGTTAATCCCGTATCTGGAACTCGATGTATATCTTCTATTAATCGACGGTACTTGAAGGAAGATCTCAGGGTCGAAGTGCCTGTTAATTTAAGTAGATTTCCTGATGGGAAGTTGGGTGTAAGGAATTTGCCCCAAAAATCTTCTACTCCTAATTATGGAAATCAGCGCCAGAATGAAGTCTACTTTCACAGTGCTCGTGTAAGACCTTCAAATCCTTTATAATTCTCATTATATGCTGCAAATTTTCTCTGTTATCATTTTCAAGCTGAACTGAGTTGATTGTTGCAGGGTCCCGGTGTCCATGGAAGGTTTTTTGAGGATTTGGCCGGAACCCCCAGTGCACCTCCCATTGGTGATGTTGGAGGGGGTGAAACCACGAGCACAGAATGTGGAAGTCAAACTAGACCAGATTCTGAAGGTTCAAGTGAAGTTGATCAAACTGACAATGGATGCCCATTGTCGGCGCCCGAGGGTTTTGATGGATGTAATGCAGATTGGAAAGCTTGTTCTCCGGGAACCTACCAAAATTTTGAAAGGTTAAGTGGTTTTCAGTGGACTGCTTTAACATGAAAGAAGCTTTGGATTTTTTCTTTTGATCTTCTTTATTTATATTCTTTGGGTGAACAGAACTTCAACAGGAACTAAAGATTCTTATATCTCTCATCTGCAAGCAAACTATCCAGAGCCTTCATCCTGTTACAACACGAGGTTTTTATTGAATTAAGTAGTTATTTATTAGTTGTTTCTATAATTTTGCTTCAAGGTACTTTTGGTTATTACTGATCTTTACCATTCTTGTCCATTTTGAGTTTCGTAATTGCAGTGGTCAACAAGCCTGGCAAACTCTACTTGCATATGATGCTTGTGTTCGGTTGTGCCTACAAGCATGGGAAAGAGGCTGCACATACTCACCTGAATTTTTACGCAATGGGTGCTTGATTCTTCGAAATGCTTTTGGGTACAGATCCTCTTTCTTGTGCTTTTTGACCAAACATTGTTCATGTTTAAAGTTTATGGTAGATTTTATTGGATCTCTTATGGGTTCTCTCTATGAATTGACAATTATGTAGACTACACAAATTTTTATTGCAACCTCGGCTCGCACAACCGACCGAAAGGGGGAGAAACACTGAGCATTCAGCACAAGTAGTAACTTTGAACCAGAAGAAAGTTGTCGGAAAGATAAGAGTGGAAGGTACAGATTCTTCAGAAGATTTCACCATTATTTGAACAATATATTCGGTTTAATTCCCTGTCCAAAGGAGCTTCCTAGGGGGTTACTTGAGTATGTCCATTGTCAAACAACATTCTATTAAAGTGAACAATCTTCTTCCATGTGAGGACTCTTCTTTCCATATTCCAGATTTTGTTGTGACATTGATTGACCAAGATATATTTTTTGATGGCAGTGAAAAAGCTTAGACTGATTCCAAAGAGGAAAGTGATGAATACCTATTCGCAAAGAGGCTCAATCTATATGCAAACAGGAGTGGAATATATTCGAAATATTTCTACTGTCGTGAAAAATGGCATAAACTCTCTAAAAGACGCTTCATTCTCAATTACATCAGAAGGTAAATTCGTACCGATTTTATTTTTCCTCGTAATCGCGACACATGATTAATCTTTCACCAAGTTAAAGAAATGATAGGTTCTATTAAATATTTGCACCAAGTATTTTCAGGTGATGCTTGGATCTATGTGTGTTCATATATTTCCGAAAGATAAAATAAAACACGTGCCTTTCAGATAACATAACATGCAAGCAAAAACAAGAAAAAAGCGTTTCAAACATTTTGCAGTTCAATAGTGGAATAGTGATATTTTTATGCGTTGCAGAACAATTATCGTGCTTATTTCAATTGAAGAGTGCTACAGAAGGCTCTGACCTGGAGTCTGATTCTGCTGTTTGCTTGCACCCTGGCAGTGGAGACTACCATGTCTTGTAAGTTCTGATCTTTGTTTTTTACCCATAACCTGTTAAGTAAGAGAGCACGTATGAACCATCGCTCTCAAGATATTATGTTCTTTTCTCTGAATTAATATTAGATCAATCCACTTAAGGAGAGGATTCTACTCTTTCTAGTAGATGTAAGTTATGAACACGAATATGATGCATTTGTGACTTCAGTTTCCCAGAGGCTCCAGGAGATACCCTTTTACTAGAAATCCAGGATGTCAAAAAAACTACCCAAGGTCGAACTACGATTTCAGTTTCATCTTTGACCGGTAACACCGTAAGTATTATATTTTCGTTAAGATTATTTTATTTTTATTTTTTGCATGTTACAAATCAATAGTTGAAGTGAGTTTCCCCCCCTTATTTGCAGAATGATAGGATTCGGTGGTGGCCTATATACCATGATGACCAGGAATGTGTTGGAAAAATTCAGATTTCTATCGTCCATACAATGACAAGTGACGAGACTAATCATATGAAGGTATTTTTAAGTCATTATTTTTTTGTATCAAATTCATATCCTTACATTATGGGATTTGTTTTTGGTTCAAAAGATAGATGGTGGCTGGTTTAATTGATCCTTTGTGTTCCGTACGTAACAGAGTGGACCTGTTGTGGAAACTCTTGCCTATGATTTAGTGCTAGAGGCTGCAATGCGTGCACAACACTTTTGTTCCAGAAATCTAAGGATTGATGGACTTTGGAAGTGGTTGTTGACTGAATTTGCAGACTATTATGGAGTTTCTGACTCATATACAAGAATCAGGTATTACACAGACATTATGGATATGTTTAGTAGCGAGTTGAAGAACATCATTGATTCATATT